ATATCCAGAGCAACATCAAAACTAGAGCAGTATCGAAAAAAAGAATATATATGTTTAATATTGGAAAAATTATGTTAAAACAGCTGATAAAGATTGCGTGGAAGTTTATTGAAGAAATAAAACAAAACGTATAATATTACGCAGGAGATAGGTAAAGACAAGGTAACAAAAGCACAAAAAAGTACGACGATGAGAGATAAAAAATTATTGACGAAATTGAGGTTACCAATACTAAAAAAAGGTGCAGATTGAAATAGATAAGGTTAAAAAAATGACAAAAATATTGCCTAAAATGAGAAATTATGTAAACCTATAAAATAAATTGCTCTGTATAGGGCTAAGAATCTCCGTTAGCCAGTGAAAGTAGGCTTTCAGGAAGATAAATAGAGAATCACATCGTCTAGCGTATTTACAATAGTGGTTGTAATCACACACATATATGTGCGTGTGTGTGTAACAATATACTAGAGAACGAAAATAAGTCCGGAATACTATATTCTATAGATATAATAGTAATATCATTCAATATATAAAAAAGTAGAATTTCTTGGAAAAATCATTTTGTTACAATCTGAAAGCAAAATGATCTGAATGTGGTCACGATGAATCGCAAAAATTGCATTTACAATTACACAAAAGGTAATTAAAAACAGGAAAATTGATATGTACATACTTTTAAAAAACATGTTCCGCCTATGTATATAATAAAATAGCTAAGAAATTACTGCCAAATTATAGGATTGTATAATTTTAAACGAGGATCAAATAACAAATTTGAGAAAATTTTTGAAGACAAACGTGAATGTTGTTAAATGTATATGATCTAGAAGACATTCTTCAATATATATTTTAATAAGTGATAGAAATATAAAAACGTAATGCTTGAATAAATACAAGAAAAAATGACCAAAAGAGGTATTTAAAAAAAAACAGATTTATAGCCAAAAATTATTAATTTGTTAAATTATATTTAATGATCTAGAGAAAACATTCTTCAATATATATTTTTAAAAGTGATACAAATATAAAAACGTGATGCTAGAAATACAAGGAAAAGTCAAAGGTATTTGAAAATTAAACAGATTTATATAGATGGCCAAAAATTATTAATTTGTTAAATTATTCAATAATAATTTACATAATCAGACATTTATAGTAATTTTTTAACTTGTAAATTGTTGGTCACTAGAAGTTATCTGGCGTTTTTTCGCTATCACTTTAAAATTCACCAATTTATTTAATCTGAATTGTGCAACACTTTTAAAAGTATTTATGATTTAACAATAATTTTTCAATGATTTTATTACGAGAAGTGAATTTATGAATTCAATATTTAAAACAAAGTGGAAGGCTATAAACGAAAATATTATTCTCCTATTATATGAAATAAATTACTTCTCAAAAAATGCGAACTTCAGCATAAGGAAACAATTTTTTTGTTAGGGGGCGTCCACTAATCACGTGAGCGAGTTTTTAAGGATTTTTAGATTCCCCCCCTCCTCTTGATGATACATGGTTATATTCAAAATTACCTCCCCTCCCCCACCGAACATCAAGTGTATTTACAGTTACGTGATAAAACTGAAATAAAATTTTTGATTTTTTTTTTTTTTGAAACAAATGATAATAGCAATAGAAGCCACTAGCAGTACGGTAAAATATTGATTTATTTCATTTTAGTATTATTATGTTGGCATATTTTTAAAGATAATAGAATCAAATATACTTGGCATATATTTCCTCATGGGAAGGGAAACGAACAATGAGATCTGATTAAAAAACTGATCAAAAATACTTAATCGGTCATGACATGTTCTATTATATTAGAACATACCTAAAATATAATAGATGTCATTTGAATGCACATTTGAATTAAATGTAACTCAACGCTCATAGCAAGATTTTAACAGGAGAATTGTTTGAGAATTCTAAAACATGTTGAAGAATTCTAAAATACTCAAAATTGATTAAAATATAATGCTTTATCAATTTCAGTATGATTATTTTGATTGATATTAATAATTTTAAAATATTGAAAGCATGTATTTAATCAATGAATATAAAACAGAGAATATGTATTTGAATTTTCAAAAACTTCTATTTAAATTGTGATACTGGAGTAGATACTGGAATCAAAAATTGAAAATTTCATTCTAAAAAACCGTAGAAACAGAAACATTCTTAGCGCATGTGTACAAACGTTCGTTAAATTTAGAACACAAATAAAATTAGTATTGTTTATTCAATAGTTTTAACTAACAGTCTCTAAAATTATTCGATAAAGGGAATAAAAAATAGGCAAAAATAAAAATTAAGATTTAAAAATCTCATATTCGTAATAAAATATTATGTACCTCAAATTGATAAAAATAATGTGAAAACAACCTGCAATAAAAAGAATTATTAGAAATCGAAATTATTTTTTAAATACATCCCCCATTAGATATAAAAGCTATTAAATTAGGCATAAACATTTTTATTGAACATTCATATATATAACCAGTAAAATTGGAAAGCTAAACCGAATAAGTAAAATTTTAGCTGGACAATATTTGAACAAGTAAAATCAATAGCTGAAACTCTTATTTGTTTCTTCCTAATATAGAAATAATACAAGTCCGATATAAAACAATAAAGAGCAAATTTACATTAGCAATAATATAAAAAGTTGTTGTAAACTAATTGTAAGTTCAAATAGTAACTTCTCAAGTTTTAATATTTGTATTGCATAAATTCCAAATAAAAGTGCAATAAAAAAGAAACATTTCGTAATCATTGTTTTCACATAGTATGTAGTTTTTGATAAAATATATATATATATATATATATATATATATATATATATATATATATATATAAAGACAATGCTTGAATTTTGATTGATTTGTGTTATTGAATTGACTCTATAAATTAAAAGTATACGAAAATCAAAACATAATTAAATATTTGAAATTAAAACTAAGTTATCAAAAAATTGTAGGATCAAAAAAAAACTTCAGGTAAACCCGCAAATAATTAATTATATAATTACAGCCCATTATAACTGATATAAATAAACTGGTATAAAAAGCTACAATGATTATTGTAATGAATTGAGTTATTTAAGAATACATCATAGGTTTTTTCTCGTAAGCTATAAAAGTATTAAATATATCAAAAAAGAATCATAACGGTTGGCAAAAATCACAGGAATTTGCTAACGACTACAGTGCAAATATTTAACAATAGGTATAGAATAATAGAATAAGCAAAAAATAAGAATGAGGAAATGTTATAAATAGAAAATAATAATTTATGCAGAATTATGATAAAATTACATTTTTCAAAATATTAAAAATAAAAATTATGCAGCAAATAGTCATGTACAAAATGTATGTTGTTATCAATTTGTAATAAAAGTACGTATAGCGTAATGCAAAAACTAATTTTAAAAAATATATTTATTCCTTTATTTTGCATTCAAATATGTGCTATTCAACGATTTCAACGTTTTGAAGTTGTTAAAAATATAACGGTTCATTCTTATGTTATTCGTCATGTATTTTTATATATTGATAACTGAAAGTGGAAATTGGCGGTGAAAGTCGTGCCATCATATACAGTTGTATACAAATTGTATCAAAAGTTTAACAGAGTTAAGTTAACAGAAACGAATTGTCAGCATTTTTATAACTTTCAAAGACTGAAACCTATTGATCATATAAATGTATTTAAATTTTTGACGATTTAGGCGTTTAAATATTGATAATTGTTTATAAAATTTGTAGGAAAATACGGACAAAATGGCATATATAGATAAAATGATACAGTGGCTTTATTTAAAAATTGGCTTGTTTTATTAAGTTTTTAGCAATTTTATTGTTTAGCAATTGGCTTGTTTTATTAAGTTTCCGCGACTGTATAATATGAAAAAAGTTATAACAAATATCCGGTCAGATGTTGGGCGTCATTGTCACAGTCTTATACGTGTTACAAAGTAACACAAAGACAAAGTTTACTTTTAAGTGTGCTAACGACGAAGAAATTTACAATATCTTTATATTATATCAAATTATTAAATGGAATTTAGTGATATAATAATAAATAATTACTTATTGTATGTAGCATTCGTACCTTATGTAATGTAAAGTCTAAGGTATCTGTAAAAATTGTATTCAAGGGATAAAACCCTTAAGTCAAAAGCTTATATAAATAAAATTAACAAAAAAGTACTTATTGATAATCGTAATTCTTTCAATTAAAATCAATTAGCTTATGTCAGTTCTATCAGGTGTTTAATGGAATTATTTATATGTATTAAATACCGGACAAAATGACATACTTATACAATGGATAAAATGACATAGTACTATTTCGTAAACATTACAGGGCCAAAAAAAATTAAAATATGACAAAAGTGTTTGCTTTTAAATTCAACTCAGTATCAGATAAATAATTGCTAAAAACATATCAAAAGAACCACTGGTAAATCGAAGAGACTTGCATTTGTTGCAAAACCCTCTTTCCCGTTCTGAGTTTGGCAAAGATTAGATAAGTTACGAAAAATGACTTGTTCCCTTTGGGTTCATGACACATGTGCTTGTGCCCCAAAAAAGACGAAAGGATCTATTAGTGAACTATTTTATAAAAGATAAGCACCTCGGTATGTCCATACCCTATATGCCATTTTGTCGGTACTATATGGACAAAATGGTTTTTGTAATAGATTGCATTTTCCTTATATATTAATATAGTTCCTATCCAATTAAAATACTATCTTACTATAAGCCAATGAACCAGAGAAAAGTAAAAACGATTAAGACTGATAATACCAATAAATAAATAAATGTCATTAAAAATGCAACACCATGTCATTTTGCACTTACCTTCCCTTTAAAGTCAACTTTAAGTTCAGTAAGTATATTGTTACTCGCGTATAAAAAATGCTATTTCATTCAGTTATACATATAATTTAAAGTTACTGAAAATTCAATTCCTAAAAATATAATTATATTTCATACCGTGATCGTTATCAATATTGTCGTTGCAATCCATTTCCAATGCAATCGAACAATCTTTTCCAGCCCATCCTTCAATGCACATGCAGCTGTATTCTCCATTGTTCAAGGTGCATTGGCCGTGTCTGCTGCAGGCATTTTCACATCCAGCTACAAATGAATTTCAATATTTAATAAAAAAAAAAAAATTAACTTAATCATAACATTTATTTTTGGAAAAACATCAAAATATTTGGCCAAAACATCAAAACATATTTTGATATTTCAGTACAACATATTGTTTAGCTATTAAATTTTAAATTAAACTAAAGAAGTTTAGCCATAGTTAAACTAATAAATTTTAACATTTAATAATCATGATATTTATTTTTGGAAAAAAGGTCAAAACATTTGGGCAAGGCATCAAAACATATGATATTTCAGTACATATTGGTGACAAATTAAGTTTCAGCCTTATTTTTAACTTTGATCAATAAAAATTGTGTAATATATGATATAATACAATCACTTAACATATATAACATATTTTAAAGTGTAATACTCCAGGGTAAAGAACTAATTATGTAATACCCCAAGCTCAACAAACCCACAAAATGTAATTAACATAATTCTTTGAAATAATTTTTGAAATTAAATTTTTCAATAAAATATAATAAAAATTATTATAAAAAAATCAAAATATCAATGTTTAATTAAAACAAATACATTTCTAATCTAAAATTTAAAATAATTTCAAATCTAAAATTTTAATTCAAAACTAAATCTGTTAAAAAATGATATTTCTAAGTTTTTTGAGCAACTTGACAGACTGGTGCAAGCGAGTGGGCATGAGCACTTTTTGATTATTTTAATTGCGCAATCATTCAAGTCGGCAAGTTCATTCGTTGTCCGCGTGTGGCAGCACATATCCCGTTTTTATTTTACTTTGTAGCGAATTCTAAATACAAGTTTATGAAGTTATCGACAATTAAAAGTTATTAAATTAGCCCTCTGAACACTTTGAATTCTCTTCTGATGCTGTAAATATATAAATTAATAAAAATGATATATTTTTAAATTATGTCTTGACGTTTCTTAGTTGGCATTTGTGATATGCTTGCGAAAATACTTGAACATAAAACTTGAGCCGTCTGTGGGCACTGTGAAAATACGCCTGGTTGCGCATTCATTCAGTTGCACAAGCATACAGTTACGTCTGTGGCCGGCATAACAGATTTAGTTCTAAATAAAGGAATTTCTAACTTTACTTTATTCATATTCAGTTGAAAAAAAATTGTTTGATCTTTCGATTTTTACGGGGAGTATATGAGAATCAACAGGGCATTGGTTTCGGATTTAAATAAAAACAAAAACAATTTTTATACAAAATATATTATACGAATGGAAATTATTTTTTATAAATTGAAAATCTCATTTACAGTATTAAAAAATGTTAAACAAAAGCGTGATTTCAGTATCATTATGATGTTCACAAACAAATTATATTACATTGCAAGTATAGTTTCCCTCCAAATAAATAAAAATGAAGCAAATCATAAATAATTTAAGCAATGAGTAAAATGTAAACTTAAAAATCAATAATAAAAAATATATGATAATTTTTGTTATTAAAATCATCAATAATTGAGTAGAAACAACTATGTCATTTTTTCACGTATATTCATAAATGAACAACTATACATAAATATGGCTAATTCAAAAGTGTTACCTGACGCGGCTTTTATTGTAAAAAAACTATCAGTGGCAAAGGTTTAAGAAATATTAGTATTTGAATATCAAGTTTAATAAAAAATAATAGGTTTTCTAGAAAATCAAATGTTATAAAGAAGATAATATGTACATGTCATAAACTGTAGCAAAACAATAAAAAATGCAGGTAAAAGTTTTCTTAGAAAAAATGCTCATAAATTTAAAAAAAAAACGAGAAAGCATATAAGGAAGTTGCATATGATAACAGCAATAATTGAATTCTATAATTGGGAATAACATGGTCTCTATATAGTTTCAACTTTTATAAAAATTGATTAAACTAGTGAAAAGCGTAGAAATAACAATTTTGGTAATATTAGTTATTTCATCACTTTTAGGTTTCTTGCTTTTGATATAAGTATATTTCAATTTATAGAGATACACAAATAGTTTAAAAACCACTAACGCAAGACACACTATAATAAACAAAAAACTAAGCAAAAAGAGTACATATATAAAAAACCTTTTTTGAAATGATGATTTGTAATAGACAAATAAAAAATATGAACAAATATATAGGAGAACATATACAAAAAATTAGATTTTAATGCAAGGTCCAAAAGATAACACATTCAATAAACTACTGACATATATTTTGAAATATAAGCCAATCAAAATTAAACAAACATTATCAAGCAAAATATGTGGTTAAATATAGAAAATTTGACGATAGCGATTGCATTTTCTCTTCTTATAAGGAAAACGTACAATGTTCAAAAACAAATAAAATGTTCTCCTTCAAATATTTTTATATTATAATATTATAAAAATAAGATTATTATAAATTTATTAAAAAACAAACTAAAATGTTCTTAAATATTCGAATAAGATATTTATAAAATTATTGTTACAAAAAGTCATTACAACATTCCACAACCATTCAAATCGATTTTTCATGTTTTATATTAATTGTATATTTAGGTTTCAAAGTGCAAAGCGTTTTATTAAAAACTAAAATTCGCTTATTATGGGTATAAATATTAAAGTTTATTTCATCATTAAAAAACAAAAAATCGTGTAAATTTATTCATTCCTACACTTTTGTATTCAGCATTTAAATTAATAACCTTGAATTACCATATCAAATTTTTCCAAAGTGCCATATTATATCATTCTTTATTAATACAACAGTTATTGAGTATTCAATAACAATATATAACAGACTAGAACTTTTTGAAAAAATATGGAAAAATAATTAAAAAAAAGCTAAAAATCTGATCTGAAAGCTAAAGCATTGCATTTATTGTTTGAAGCGTATGAATAGTTGCATACGATACACACAATACATTATAATGGAATTGTACAATGTTAATTTTTTTTTAAATGTGATCGAGTATTAAAATTAAAAGCAGTTACAAAAAGGCCATATTTCCAATAACTGCAATTTACCATCAGACAGACAGACAGTGTTTACATTTCCATGCAAAATAGATTATTAATACATCAAACTATTATTTTAAAAAATGTTAATATATTATAATAAAAAAAATCAATTCACTGTCATTCAAATCGATTCTTCATTTGTTATATTAGCATTTGTTTTATTTCAGTTGAATAATCATTAGAATAAAAATATTGTATTCTTCCAAAACGCAAAGCGATTTATTGAGTAATCCAAAAGTCGTGTATTATTGGTATATCTGATACTGAATTTATTTCATAACAAAATCTAATAATGCAATAATCGTAAAAATATGTTCATTTCTACTCTTTTGCAAAATTTAAATTAATAAACTTGAATTACCATATAATCTTCCAAATTGCTATTTAATATTCTTTCATAACATGATGCTGCTCATTGAATAAACTTAAATATTAATTTATATATTAATAAATCTCTTATTCAGTATTCATTCGCGCCATTTTGTAAATTTCTTTATCAAAAAATATGAAACATTTGAGTTAAAATTGTTCAAAAAAAAATTAATCTAAAAAACTAATTCAAAAGCAGAACTTCAAGATATTGCATTTGTTGTTCTGGAGGCATATGGGTTGCTGCCTTTCATTGACATACACAATACAAAGTAATGCAATTATTTTTTGAAGTAAAACTTCTTTAGGCGCGATATGGGTGTAAAAATTTTTAGGCGCGACACGGGTGTAAATCCGTACAAATGCAACGAAAATGCCAACGTGTAGTTGAACACTACGACGCCGTAAGCGCTGATGTCGCGAGTATCCACTCCATTAATTGAATCACGTTTTTTTTACAAAAGAAGAGATTGCTGTATTATGTCCTCATGGAATAAGACTTTTCTTAGAGAATAAATGTGCCATGGAATATAATAAATTTATATTGAATCTCGTTGAAGACAAAAATATATCTACTGCCACGGATATTTATGTAGGTTTGCCATGCGACAGATCAACAATCATACATTCGTCAGCAGTTTCAAAAAAATCGATTATTGATACCGGGGCTTTGCCGTATGAAATAATTTTAGTTCTGAATAAATTTTACATAATAAAACTAATATTGATGTAAGTGATGGCTTAGCTAATGGTTGTGTGGGAAAATTAGTGTACATAGAACGTGGCGATATGATGAACTTCTACGTTTATGGTTTGAATTCCCGGTAAGATAGGTAACAAAATTAGGAAGAAGCTTCACATCATATTCAAACTCTTAATATCAGTAGGACAGCTGTGCCGATGCTCAGGAGATCTTATTATTATTGATGTTATATGATTATTAAAAGATGATTTTTAAAATTCAAATATGATGTTTTTTTTATTTTTATCTTAATTGCCTACTCATACAATATTAAAAGTTTTACTTCAATCGCGTGTGATCCTTACGCGCACTCTTTTTTTAATATTATCGAGTATTGAAAATAAAAACTGAAGAAATTACAAAGAATAGATCCATATACAAATATATGCAATTTGCCTGCAGACACAGTATTTTATATCAATTATATTATATTCATATTGAAAAAAGATTCTCATAAATTTTTAAAATATTTTTTACAACATTCCAACTTCATCAAAATTCAAATGGATTCTTCATTTTTAATATCCATGATATAGCAATCAGTAGAATAAAATGATAAAGATCGCATTCAATAATCTAAAAGTGTTATGTTATTGATATAAATTTCATTTCATAACAATCGTAAAAATATTCATTCCGAACCCTTTTGTGTACAACATTTAAATGAATAAATATGAATTAACGGATAAAATATAAGCCACATTTTTTCTACAAACTGCAGGTGTCGTATTCTCTATTAAAATTAAGGAAAAATTGTGATCCAATTATTCAAAAAAAAAAAATAATTTGAAAATCTGTATTTGAGACATATGATAGTTATCTCCATATTTAAATTAAAACCGAAAAGACTGCACAATAAAAACTATCTGCCATTTGCCAGAAGGCACAGTATTTTATATCCGAGCAAAAATATTAAGATTCATCTAAAAATTTTAAATTACATTTCTTCAAAAAAATTGATATTGAAGAAGTGACATTCAAATTAAGAAAAATTTGAATTGCTAATTTGATATAAAATAGAATTAGAACTAGAAGCAAGGTTAGAACAAAAAGAAGAATAAACATGTCAGTAGTAAACAAAAATTTGATAGGTATAGGTTATATAATAATAGTATTTGATGATATAATAAAAATAGTACATTAGTATCTCCAAAATTGGATAGCATCTAATCTAATCTAATACCTATTTTTAAGCGTGAAAAGTGAAAGGCATAACGACAACTTATGAGGGTGTTAATGAGACAGGTTCATCTAATATCAGTTGTAACAAGGATTTTCGTATATGAAGTAGCATTTAAACAAATATTTAAAACATATTTTAAAGTTAAAATTTTAAGTTTATTAATAGTAATGTTGTATATTTGTTGTGCAATATGGAACAAAGTCGAAAAGTATGTGGATAAAAATCACGCGGAAAAGGTATATTAGAATTGTTTGACGAAACATGTCTAACTTGTTTTGGCAATACTATAATAGGTTGAGAAAAAAAAAATGGTCATTGGATAGTTTTTTAAACGCAAAAACTGGTATAATGATAATAACTGGTATAATGATAACATATTTAAAGTTAAAATTTTAACTTTATTAATAGTAATGTTTATTATATATATATTTGTGCAATATGGAACAAAGTCGAAAAATATGTGGATAAAAATCACGCCGAAAAGGATATATTAGAATTGTTTGACGAAACATGCCTAATTGTTTTGGCAATACTATAATAGATTAAGAAAAAAAATAATGGCCATTGAATAGTTTTTTTAAACGCAAAAACTGGTATAATGATAATTTAGTCATTTTTAATTCAGCAATTTGCTATGTTTAGGCAGAATATGTATTTGGTTTTAGCAATCAAGTCTCTAGTTTTGTTGTCAGCAAACACTGTGTTGGATTTTATTGAGCATCAATTTGATCTTAGCAATAAAGTTGCATTTATTCTTATTATCAAAAAACACTGTGCTGGATAGAATTGATTGCATTTCAATGTATTCACATAGAAAAAAATGCTTCGAGATATGAAAATTTCGACATACGAGCGTGGTTACGGAACGAATTAAGCTCTAAACGAGTGTATATAGCATAATGAAGATAGTACAAGATATAGTAAGAGCTAGTAAAAAATATAAGAAAAATTGTTGGAGGTAGCTAAATGCCCTAAGTAAACGAGGCCAATAAAAATCATTTAAAAAAAACTTACGTAGTGTGCAATGACGTCCATTCCATCCTTGAGAGCAAACGCAGGTTCCATTCTTACATTGACCATGCTCCGAGCATCGGTCATCGCAAGGTAGGAGGTCACATAAAGGACCTGCCCAACCTTGAACGCAGTTGCAACGACCTTGCTCACATGTACCATGAGGACCACAGTCAAGACTGCATATGGCTAAAAACAACACACGATTTATTAAAATTTAGTTGAAAGTTCATATCATATTATATATAGCATCTAATGCACTTATTTTTAGGTACGGAAATCAGCATGACGACGCTTTAAAAAGACTCATTCTATTTTTATCTATTAAAAACGCCATTTGTTAAAAACGCCAAAGCTTACAATGCGACAAAAAAAAGAAAATTTTTACAATTATGTGCATTATAAATAAATATAATTTGTTTTTATTCGTTAGTCGAAAATAATAGACAAATAGACAGATTGTAAAAGTCTCTAATAACAGCATGTTACTTAAAATCATGAAAAAAAACTCATTCAAAAAAAACGAAATAAATAAATTAAAAAAATCAAATTATACAAAATTAAATTAAACAAAAAAACCTAAAATACATATAAAAGATTAAAATGCATCAAGAGCAAGGCATTTTACAAAAAAATATTAACATTATATCTTTTATGAAATTAGTCTAATATGCACATTTTTTAACTTCCCGTAGGGTAAGTTATTGTAATGAGCCGAAAATCGGAATTGAAAATTTTTACATTTTTCGACGTTTTGAAGGTTTCTGAACGTTTTGGCATACCTCAGAAAAAATGGATGTGTGTGTGTGTGTATGTATGTATGGATACAAATTTCCAGTCAAGTTTTAGGGCGCACGGATCAACCGATTTGAATGGTTCAAAAAACATTCGATTCCTATTGATAGGGATTTGAATGATCTAAAAAACATTCAATTAGTGATGATTGGGAGAAGTGTTTATTAGTTTTTGTCAAAGGCAGGCCCAGCCTTTTGAAGATACGGAGCTAAATATGTAAAAAATTGCAGTTTTTGAGAGAACTAAGCGTCCGATTTAAATGATTCAAAGAACTTTCTGCTTGTCTTAACAAAATAATTGATTTTTGAAAAAAAAAAATTGTTCATTTTTTTAGTTTTTTGTATATCGAAAATATTTCAGATTCTTTTTAATCTGACTATAGTTCTAATTCTACCTCTGCAATTCAGTTTATATAATTCTTATAAATATTAGAAAATGTTACAATATTTATAATAATCTATTTGAAAACATTCAGTATTCCTCGAACATTCGTTACGGTACGGGAAGTTCCAGCAATTTGCCTTAAGGCACAATGCCATAATTGCCTCAAGACAGAATTCCACTTACAGCTAGTTTAAGATATGATTGACACTTTTTGTTTTAGTGACAAAATATTTTTCCTTTTAGTAAAGAAGCCTCCTTCGAATAAACAGTTTTAATAATTACCGACGTCGTGTGGTAAATTTACTGTGCATTTATGATAAGGTTTGAATAAAAATTACATAAGTAGCTAAAAACAACACACGATTTATTAAAATTTAGTTGAAAGTTCATATCATATTATATATAGCAAACTAATGCACCTATTTTTAGGCACGGAAATCAGTATGACAACGCT